CGAGTTATTTAAGTTTGAAAATTTTAAAAAAATGATTTTTTTTTTGAAAAAATTTTGAGAGCCACCGGATTTTTTCTGTATTTGTATCCCTTTTAGTGCCGTAACCATGGAGTAAAGCCGTAACTATGGCAATATCAGAGATTAAGAAACTATACCGTGGGAACATTTGCGGTTCTAAAAAGTTTTCGAAAAATATAGAGGGAAATTTAAAAGAAAATGCACCATTTTCAACATCTCTTTTTTGAGAAAAAACCTCATAGACGTGTTCCTGGGGGCGAAATAAACCACTCCTGAAAATATTTGCACTTATTTATGACTCACCCTGTATAATGAATATGATAATTCTGGTGTAAAGTCTCATAGTGTTATCCAACCCCTCTGTAGTGATTATCCAGGGAAAGAGGTTTTGTATTTTTTAAAATTGACAATTGTAATGTCCAGAGGATTTTAATTTACCACCGAAAAAGCTTTTTACAGAGTTTTGAAAGTCAAAAATGTAAATTATTTGTCTAAAGCAGGAAGAGTTAATAAAGAAGATTTGATAAATACTAGTGATAATAAATAAACAACAAAAATTATAATAATGTTAACTATTTATTAAACATTTATTTATTAAAATCGATTAATATAAAATAACGTTTGTTCATTTAGTTTATTGTATTTATTTCACAGAGTGAAATATGACTATGATTCTTTTCTGGTCTAACCGCAATCCGCAATTGACTTTCATTATAAAATCACTTTTAACCTTGGCAAGAAATTAAGCTTTTTATAAGATATATATATGAAAACGATTTATTTTATTTAGACGTATCATTTACAGTTGTCCAAAAGGTAAAAGGTGTGTAAATACATTTAAAATAAATAAGGTAAATGGGAAGATAAGTTGGTAGATCGTTCTCACTAGTAGTAATAGAAAATATTAATAGATAAATTTGTTAGTTTTCGAAAAAAAATTGGCGCCGGGAGGCACGTATAGCCGCCCATACTAAAATATGTTAATATCTCGAAAACTGCAACTTTGACTGATTTTGATGTTATTACAAATTTTGTATGATAAATAACAGCTTCTGGGCTTTAAATCATCTCTGTTAGAGTAGCTGCCAACAAACAATAATAATATATCTGTTTAATGACAGTGACATTACAAAAACAATAATCACTATTTCAAGGATATTGACATTGACTATGACAAATTGATCATCATTGCAAACTGACGATGAATAAGAAAAGCTAAGGCATGCATTTAATGCTAAAGTAATTGTAAAAGTAGTCTTTAAATTCTATATTTTGTTAAACTATTCTACGGGGTGTTTTAAATTTTCACAAAAAATCAACATTTGGCTTTCCCTCGTGTAATAGACAACTGGAAACTACTATAAATCTAGAAAAAAACCTAAAAAGTAAATAATTTAGATACGTATTGTTTAAAATTTTATTAAAATTTACCCACTAAAAAAACATATTAAATTTCAAAATACATGAAAATTTTATGATATTTTATGATAACATAGGCATATAAAACATGGCACGAAAAATGGATTCACTTGGGTCAATCTGTCTAAAACAAGCAATTGACACCCACTAAGAGTACACATTCAAGTATTCTTAATACTAAAATACTCAAAATTCGTATCAAATATATGATGCTACTTAGAATAAATGGGCTGTGAAAAAAGCCATATACAGGGTGGTCCGAACTGTATTCCGGAAATTTCGGCGGCATATTCTGCAAATCAAAATAAGTAAAAAAGTTCTTATAAATCTATGTCTTAGTTTCGGAGATACAGGTGTAGAAGTGTGTTTAATTTGTATTTCCCTTCATTCATATTCTGAAGTAACATCAATATCTAAATGAATATTGGCGTCTGGGAGTTTTTTGATATGAGAAATTTGATTTTGATGTCAACATGACTCTTACTTGTAGAGGGGGCCACTTACATATTTTTTAACTGGTTTCAAGAGTAATATTGTCCGTACCTGTACAAAACTACTGAGTGAAAAAATATACATTTTCGTGATTTTCTACGTAAAATATGTCTCTTGGTAAAAATTGCTACAAGCAATCGTTCTCAAGATATTTAGAATAGAAATAGTCAATACATATCATTATTGACAAAAAATAAACATGTTGATTAGATAGTTATTTGACTGAAATGATAAATTTGGGAACTTTTTATTTTCTTAAATGAATTAGAAAATTTTCGTTGAAAAAAAGATGATAAAACAGTTTCTGATCTGGTTGGTTTTGGGACAAAAACATTTCAAATTTATGATGTCAGTCTAATAAATATTTTTTAATCAACATGTTTAATTTATGTCAATGATGACAGGTGTTGATAATTTCGGTTCCAAATATCTCGAGAACCATTACTTGGAGCTATTTTGACCAAGAGGCCTTTTTTACGTAAAATACGTCGTTAATGTATATTTTTTTACTTAGTACCTAGTTTTATACAGGTACGAACGAAAAGTTATTACCGTTCAAACCAGTTAAGAAATATGTTTATGGCGTCCTATACAAACAGGAGTCATATTGACATCAAAATCAAATTTCTCCAAAAAGTCAAAAAACTCCCAGACACCAATAATCATTCAAATATTGACGTTACTTCTGAAATTATTTGAAAAAATCGAAATATAAATGAAACATCTACACCCTGTATCGCCGAAACTAAGCATTTTAGGACATATACGTTTATTTATACGAACTTTTTTACTTATTTTAACCTGCAGAATATGCTGCCGAAGTTTCCGGAATACAGTTCGGACCACTCTGTATATGGCCACCCTTTTTACACAGCCCGCAGCATATTTTTTTGGTAAAGGTCTTGTGTTATTTCTGTCAGATTTGAATAGAGTTTTAACATGTTGCGTCTTTCTGTCAAACAACCAAAGCCGCTTATTGAAAAAAAAAATTTAAATTATTGACGTTATAAAATATAAGCCATTGTATATAACTTGTACAGGGTGGACCATTTTGGTTGTTTCTATAGGGTATCTAGGAAACCGTGAGAAATATTCAAATTTTGATACTGCAGTCTCAGGTTCTTTTTTTTGAAAAATTACAATGGCGCAAACGGATCGTGGCTATCTTGATCGGTTTCGAAGCTACAGGGGATTCTCAAATTTTGTACTTTTGAAGATGTCCAATAGTTTGTTTATTTCAGCAACCACGGAAAAATGAATTATACATTCTAAAGGCACTTTTCTGTAGAATGCAGTGGCGTAGTCAGACCTTTTTCGAAAAAAATATTTTTTGGGATATTAACTATACTTATGTTTTTTTAAATAGGGCCCCCTGTATATTTTTAAATTTTCTTATTCAGCTTGGCATGGGCTTCTCGAAAATATATAATACTCTATATTTATTTTCACTATTAACCTCAACATTTAAAATTTTTCTTAAAATATCCACTTAGTGGATAGTAGGCCGCGTCGAGGAACAAAGTAAACGGTTGTCATGGTGATCGGAACATACCGTTGATGGATGCGGGACATTTCATTTCAACAGATTGAAGTGTGTGTATTTTAAATAATAAAAAAATGAGTAAATTTGGAAATTTTGAGAAATATAATAATATGTTAGAATGTTATATTGAGTCTAACACACATAAGCAAATGGCAGATGATTTATATGCGCGAGCAACCAAACCCAGCCATTTTTAAAAGGTTAGAAGATAGTTTAATCAATTTTGGATTTTTTCAAAAACCGGGTCTGAAAAATTATCAGAAAGAAGATGAATAAAATCAAATATTAATGTTTATTAATGTCCTCGGAGCCGTAACACTAGATCCAACAACATCAAGTAGAGCTATTGAAATTCTGTTAGCGGCGCGCGGCGGCGTGAGGTACCAACTCTATCTAGATAATAATGGGCAGCAGTCTGAACATTTAATGTAGTCTTTGTGTTTTTATTTTTTTGATATTAACTGAGAAGCCCGATTGAAGTAATCTCTTAGAGTTTATATTAAAATATGATCTTTTTGTTTGTGTCACTTATTTTTTATTTCCTTGGTATTGTTCCATTTTATTTAACTCCGAGGACAATAATATATTGATTTTCTTCATCTTCTTTCTGATAATTTTTTGGGACGCGGTTTTTGAAAAAATCCAAAATTGATTAAACTATCTTCTAACCTTTTAAAAATGGCTGGGTTTGATTGCTCGCGCTCTGGATACCGCTCAAAATATAAATCAGCTGCCATTTGCTTATGCTTGTTAGACTCAATATAACATTCTAACATATTATATTCCTCAAAATTTTCAAATTTACTCATTTTTTTATTATTTAAAATACACACACTTCAATCTGTTGAAATAAAATTTTCCGCATCCATCAAAGGTATGTTCCGATCACCATGACAACCGTTTACTTTGTTCCTCGGCGCGGCCTACTATCCACTAAGTGGATATTTTAAGAAAAAATTGAAATGTTGAGGTTAATAGTGAAAATAAATATAGAGAGTTATATATTTTCGAGAAGCCCATGCCAAGCTGAATAAGAAAATTTAAAAATATACAGGGGGTTCTATTTAAAAAAACATAAGTATAGTTAATATTTCAAAAAATATTTTTTTCGAAAAAATTCTGACTACGCCACTGCATTCGACACAGAAAAGTGCCTTTAGAATGTATAATTCATTTTTCCGTGGTTGGCTGAAATAAACAAACTATCGAACATCTTCAAAAAGTACAAAATTTGAGAATCCCCCTGTAGCTTCCAAACCGATCAAGATAGCCACGATCCGTTTGCGCCATTGTAATTTTTTCAAAAAAAGAACCCGAGACTGCAGTATCAAAATTTGAATATTTCTGACGGTTTCCTAGATACCCTATAGAAACAACCAAAATGGTCCACCCTGTACATGGTTAGAATCGCAATGATTTTTTTCTTGGTTCTAACCTTGCAAGCTTCATTTCATACCTAACATAAGGGGACGCGAATGTACTACTCTACACTATTAATGTAAGAGTCGAAAGACAAAAAGAGACTTACCTGGTCCCTGTCCGTCGTAAGTGAAGTCCTTGATGTGCAAAGTTCTGCCGTCGACCGCGTACACCTCGCCCGAAACTCCGTGATGCAGCTCGGAAAGTTTCCCCAGGAACTTTCCCAAGTATTCCGCTCCATTTGCTCGACCTGCGAATAGAGACAGAGTAAAGTTAGAGAGCTCTGTTCCGAAACGCGATAAAAAGGCAAGAGAGGCACAACAAAGAGCCTGCTCTATCGAAGATTAACCGCAGTTGCCGCTTACCTATGTGTTTGCATTAATTACTTTGTGGTTGGTCTCTAGACTGTAATTGTTACTTAAGAGTTTGGAGGTTGGTTATGTGCTTCAAAGTAAAAGGGTTATAAGGTCTTGTTAGCCTTTTTTCTAGTAGTAGTAGTAGTTTCTTTTTTCAAAGTTAAATTGTTAATTCTAAAAGTTGACAAAGTCACGCAGATACAGAACGAACGAATATTACATGAATACATACCGGCTGGTGCAGCGTCGTGGAAATAGGGGAAGTCCCATGAAAATTTTGAATTTGACACAAAATTTTTAGGCTTACTTTGATAAAATATAGTCTTGTGACCTCCAACCGGGTTTTTACAAAAAAAAAACATATAAGACGAAACTTAAAAATATAAACAACGCAAAAACCGCAAAGCCTTAACTTCCAAATATACAACTGTGGCGATGTCAATGAATTTTGAAAGCCGAAATCTGTATATGATTTATTTTTCAGTTATGTTATTGAAATAGTAACTATTGAAATAGAAATAAATATACATTGAATATCTCTCTCAATAGATATAAAAAAAAACTTTTATAATTTAATTAAATACTATATAGGGTGAGTGTAAAATAAGTGCAAATATTTTCAGGGCTGGTACTTAGATTTCGATAAAAGAAACATTTTTTGTCTTTATCGCTTTTCAAATAGCTCGAAAATAACCGAGTTATTTTACTTTGAAAATTTCTAAAAAAATAGTTTTTTGCTTAAATTTTTAGAACTACTGGTTTTCTTTCCTATAAATTTATTCTACTACCTATGTTGCTATATTATCAAGAAATTATGTTTATTAACTAAAAAAATTTCCAAAATGTTTTTCAAAAAATCCAAATTTTCAAAATTTTTCTTTCGCGAAAAAAACCTCTTAATCTGCTTTTCTGCGATCGAAATATGACTACACTTAAAAATATTCGCATCTATTTAAGACTCACTCTGTATAGTGAAGTACCCGGAGATTTTACCTCGGAATTCAATTACATACTTTGAATGTATTCATTTATACAGGGTGTTTCAGAACAAATGCGAAAAACTTCAGGGGGTGATTCCTTGTTAAAAATAAAGGGTACTTTGCTTTATAAACGTTGGGTCAAAAGTCAATCATTAGGGAGATATCGCAGTACAAAGATGGCGGAAAAACAATGTTTTTATTTTTTATCTTGAAAACGAAAAGAGATAGACTAATGAAATTTTATGGAAGCATTATTGTTATGCAAACAGACTTTCTGGTAATTTTTTCACTTTTTTAAAATGAGTGGAAGGGGTTGAAATAAACTACCCCTATCATTCTTGTTAACGAAATTTAAAGAAAAATCGTATCAAACACATGCAAAAAAGTAATTGGATAGTTCAGTTTATTTAGAAACTTTTTTATCTCTTGTGTTTTTTTGATAAAACTCACCGATTTGAAATTAAAAAATAAAATGTGAAGCATTACATGTCAGCGCAGAAAACATTTTTAGATATAGAAACAAGGCTTCGGAATAATTAATTGATCGTAAGATAATAACGTATTGCAGTAGAGTATGTCAAATTAAATAATATTAGAAACATCCTAAAAAGTGACAGCGGTCGACTAGATTTTTTCCTAAGAAAATTACAGCAGCCAACTAAATTCTTTATCTAAAAATGTTTTTTTGTCCTGACATGTAATGCTTTACATTTTATTTTTTAATTTCAAATCGGTGACTTTTATCAAAAAAACACAAGAGATAAAAAAGTTTCTAAATCAACTAAACTATCCAAATTAATGCATCTTGCATGTGTTTGATAAGATTTTTCTTTAAATTTCGTTAATAAGAATAATAGGGGTAGTTTATTTCAACCCCTTCCACTCATTTTAAAAAAGTAAAAAAATTACCAGAAAGTGTGTTTTTATAACAGTAATGCTTCTATAAAATTTCATTAGTCAGTTTTCAAGATAAAAAAAAATAAAAACATTATTTTTCCGCCATCTTTGTTCCGCGATATCTCCCTAATGGTTGACTTTTGACCCAACATTTATAAAGCAAACTACCCTTTATTTTTAACAAGGAATCACCCCCTGAAGTTTTTCGCATTTGTTTTGAAACACCCTGTATAAAACCTTCTGTATTGTGTTTTATATATAAAATACTAAAATGTTTGCCCATTTATTCTTGTTGCTTTTAATTTTTTATTTTAGTATTTATTAGTTTTTAATTTTTAACTGTGTTTTTCAGTTATTTTTTTCAAGTACCTATATTTATTGAAGGAAAAGAAACCAATGCATAAGCTATACCGAGTGCGTTTCAAAAGTGGCTCACCCCTTTAACTTTTTTAATTTTTCAGATAAAAAACGAGATTTGTTATGTTAGTGTATGACATAAATTAGGATTGATTGACGCATTCAATTGTTTTCGGTCACTTCCTGTTTCACCGGAAATTACTACAACTTTTGATTTTTAAATGGTACCTATCATATTATAGGTAATGATAGGTACTAAATAATAGGTACTAAAATAACATAATGGTATTTTTTTTACTTTATTCAATAGAAAATGATACTCTGAATAGAAAATTTTGACATTCTCACTTTAAAAAAATTGTATTTTAAATTTCAATCTAGAGTGCTCGAGCCTTGGAAAAATAGATTTGATCGTCTTATTTCTTTAATGTCTTGTCCTGTCCTGTTAAAAGATGGCAAAATCGTATTTTTAATCATATCTAAATTTTTGCAAATAGAACGAGGGTGGCTCATTAACATATTTGGAAAAAGCATTTTTTTACGAATAATTTAGTGCCACACACTTGATATTTCGAGCCAAATTAACCGCTGATACATTTTCAAATATACCATAGGCGAAAATGTCAAAAGTTGACATATGATATCATATATCATTCTATTCAGAGTGTCATTTTCTATCGAATAAAGTAAAAAAATATCGAAGTCATTTAAAAATCAAAAGTTGTAGTCATTTCCGGTGAAACAGGAAGTGACCGAAAACAATTATTGAATGCGTCAATCAATCTTAATTTATGTCATGTACTAACAAACCAAATCTCGTTTTTTTATCTAAAAAAATAAAATGTTCTAGGGGTGAGCCACTTTTGTGACGCACCCGGTATACCTATTCTGCTTATATTCTATCATTGAAATTTTGATTGATATCATAGAATTCGCAGTATTTTTGGGGTGAATTTTTGGAAAACAAATATATTTTATCATGTTCTGACAATCGGTTATTAGGCCAGCCAACACGAATTACTTTTGCATTAATTACTTTCACGCTTTGCCTTGATAAGGGGACTAAAATTTAATAAATAACTCACTCTTAATCAATATTAAAACCTAAATTAGATTTATCTGTCCTTGGTGATCGTAAATTTTGAGCGAGAGATAGTAAATTAAATTTAGGCCTTGACAAGGTATAATTTAAGGGATGTGCCTCGTTCCGAGCATCTACCCTCTTTTGTATTTCCACTCGAAAGATTAAAAATAAATTGATAAAGAGAAGAATTTGATAAGAAAAAAAGGCCAAATGTATATTAAAAATATATTTATGGCACGTTATAACATTTACTTTTTGTAAAAATGTCATAACAGGCAGTTATTTAATTTGTTTTTTTTGTCTCATTATAAAATTTTATGTATTGCACCAAATGTACAGGGTGGGTCAAATTCGACGCTTTTAAATGGAAACACCCTTTTCTATAGGAGATAGACGAAAACTAATATCGGTGTCTGGAGCTCTATTTTTGTCAAAAACATGATAGTGAAAACCGCATATCGATATCTGTTACCGTTTCGGAGTTACGGGGTGTTTTTCAAAAATATGCACTTTTAACAAATCGCTGTAACTTTTTTGTTATGGAAAATTTTGTATTTTTATGAAAACATTTCCAAAGCACCTTTTTACGTAGAATTTAATGGTTTAAGTATATTTTTTTTAAATTAATAATTTAAGAATTATCAACAGAAAATTTGATTTTTTGTATGGGACACCCTGTGTATTTTTAATTTATTGAAAATAATTTAAAATTACCTTTCCAAAAATATAACACACTTGATATTTTGCTCGATTCCTCTTCGAGATATAGAGTATATAAAAAATTCGCCCGTTTTAAAATGAGTAGGCTTTGAACGGCACCGGCTGTAATGCAAAAATCTAGCTGTGAGCATCAATTAAAACGAAAATAATATTTGCTATGTGAGATGCAGAATTTTATAACTATTTAAAATATATTTAATCAACATCAACACATTTAAACTATATCTAATAACAAGAAAAATAAATAGCAAACCAAGACATGAGATTTTGCTATAGGTGTTGGACATATCGGCCGTCTTCTGTTATGGACAGACGAGGCAGTTTTTGAACATTTCTCGCGGAATTCATTAACTCAGTGGGGGTGAAAGATACCCTCTCATAACTGCTAAGTAATTCTAATTCTTGTCTAGATTATACGGAAGAACAAGGAACCTTTATTTTTCCGCAAATATATCGATAGGATTAGATCCATGGGCACTAAGTCAGGCGGCCTCGACGGCCAACGGCTGGAATCTTGGTTGGCTATTCAATTACTCTTGAAATTGGATGCAAAAATTTTCTGATAACTTCAGCGATCAGAGGCGGTGCGTCGTCTTGCTGGAGAAATATGTTTTCGAGTTCCATTAAGGGCATATCATCAATAAAGGGTCCAAAGCCTACTAGTTAAAAGTGGCGAATTTTTAAAAATTCTGTATTTCGAAGGGGATTATAACAAAATATCAAGTGTGCTATATTTTTGGAAAGGTAATTTTAAATTCTTTTCAGTTAATTAAAAATATAGAGGGTGTCCCAAATAAAAAATCAATTTTTCTGTTGATAACTCTTAAATTATTAATTTAAAAAAAATTATACTTAA